TTTTTGTCTTAGCCTTATTTTTGTTTATTTGAGGAATTACTTAATGAAAATATAGAATTACATATTTGCTTTCATATGCATGTCTGAAATCTAGGTTTGAATTCCAGCGCCGAACCTGTTATTTAACTTCTCTATGTGTATCTTCATCTGTAAAATGGAGATAATTAAACATACCCAATGCAGTTACAAGGATTAAATAAGGTAATGAATATGACTCACTTAGCATAGGACTCAGCACACAGGGAGTGTTTATCGGTCAGTGGTTTTCAACATTAAATTTGTAACAGCAACATTTGGAAATTAAAAAAAAGACAAGTAAAACAAAACAAAACAAATACGACATGGCTGTACTCCAAACCTATAAAATCTGACTATCTGAGTTTGGTCTCGATGTACAGCCTAGATGAAAATTATTATTATAAAGATTCAATCTTTATCATTTATTATTAATTGCTACTAATATTAATGTATGTGGGGAAACTTAAAAAAATGTACCTGGTAGTCCAGAGGGTACATACATTTTTATCATGCATTTTATCAGGTACTTATACAGATAATGTTTAGGGCCATATTTGAATTATGGTGTATAAAAATCTATGAAATAGTGTTGTATTGCAATTACTCTGTGTGCGTATATACATGTGTGTGTATAGATCTATTTCCCTGGGGTGAGCGCAGAAGTTTGAGATGGCTAGTGTTATATGAAAGCTGTATTTAAGAAAAATTGTCCATGTACTAGAATAAGGTCAAACCACAAGTGAGCTGAACTTCGCCATCTATTAACAAACGAAAATAAAACATTTATTACATTGTCCACTCTTGCTTCTTTATATTTATGGTATATACCAAGGAGATTTCCCTGTTGGGATAAATTTCAGAAGCAGAGAGGGGAAATCAGGGGGAAGTTTAAATAAAAATGTTTTATTATTGATTTGGTTGTTGCTAGGGCTGACCATATAGATTGTGGAAATAATATAGTTTATTTCTTTTTTTTTTTATTGGCTCTACAAAGTAATAGCTTAGAATAGCTATTAGTTTATCTTGTAACTAACCTTTGAACTACTTCTGAATTTGTTGTTTTCCAGAAAGCGGTATACTCAATAGAATAAACACCGAATGATTTTTAATAATGTTAAGTGCACTGAAGGAGAAGATGCTAAGGAAAAAAATCTGCTTTTCCTCTGGTCTATGACATTTTATGGATTTGAAATTTCTTACGTTATTATTATGGTCCTTATAGTAACAAAACCCCTGCTCTGACTAAAATTAGGGCCCATGTATAACGTTTATTTATGTTCTGAAATTAAATGGCTAGGGTGCTTTGTCTATTCAGTATAATGTCACGTAAGAAGAAAAAGCTTTATCAAAACACTCTAGACCAAAAAAAGTTTATCAAATGATTAGATGCAATATGTAAAGAACTAGCCATTATTCCTTTTCTATGTAAATGAAGATAGGTGGGACTGTGTATAAGATCCACTGAAATTATTATTCAAGACCTCATAAATATGTATATGTTTATGGTCATATATTTTACATAAATGCATTGTAGTGATCAGAGACCCTGATATTAGAATTGCTAAGATCCAAGTAAGGAGGAAAAAATGTTCCTCAAGTGACCACAAAAATTCTTCTTCAGCATAATTATGAAAAACTTCTCAAGATTAGGAAACTTTCTTTTGCATGTCAAACAAAGCTGGCTAAGTAAGTATCGCAGCATTTCTATCTTTCCCACTGCTGGTCAAAATATCCTAGTAACTTTATGGACCTATATTGTCAATCAAGCATTACCAAACCCATATTGTGCTTATGGAGTATAAATTCATAAATAGTTGGGGTGCCTGGGTGGCTCAGTATGTTGGGCATCTGCCTTCAGCTCAGGTCATGATCCCATGGTCCTGGAATCAAGTCCCACATCAGGCTCCCTGCTCATCAGAAAGCCTGGTTCTCCTTCTCCCTCTGCCTGCTGCTCTGCCTACTTGTAGTCTCTCTCTATCTCTCTGCCAAGTAAATAAATAAAATCTTAAAAAAAAATAAAGTCATACATAGTTAACATTTCCAAAAGAATAATCTTTTCAACACCAGTATTGGTCAGTATTCAACTGGTATTGGTCAGTTGGTGTACAGAGTTATATTAAGGAGATAGTAAGGGGGCATGGAGGCCTTTTGCAAAACGTGCCAGCAGAAAACTTTAATCTCCATAGATCAAGGAATAGCAATGAAAATACTCTGAATGGCCATCCATGAACCTCTATATAGTGGGAACAGTGTTTCTGAAGAAACACAGTTATTGGAGGCCCTCAACTAATTTAGCTAAGGACACAAACTCATTGAGGTTGGTAGATGAAGAATGGATCCCAAACAATAAATTATTGGTTACTTCTACTTTGAGGAAATGGTCTGGGTTGAAGGACATGGTCTGGGCACAATTTATCTTTGTAGTCTTGGAATCTAACTTTCCCAGCCCACAATAAGCAAGAACTCAATAAATGTCCATGAGAATGAATGAATATTCAATTTATGAGGTGATCTGAGTAATATAATTACAAGCATGAAAGATAAACCAAGTGTATTAAGAATATCCAGAGACTATTTTTTTTTTTTTAAGATGTATTTGTTTATTTGGCAGAGAGAGAGCGAGAAAGGGAACCCAAGCAGGGGGTAGTGGGAGAGGGAGAAGAAGTCTTCCCACTGAGCAGGGAGCCTGACTCAGGGCTTGATCCCAGGGCTCTAGGATCATGACCTGAGCTGAAAGCAGATGCTTAACAACTGAGATACCTAGTCTCCCTGAGACTCTTTTATTTTTAAGATTTATTTATTTATTTTAGTGAGAAAGAGAGAGAGAGCAGTGCATGTGTGCGTGGCTGTGGGTGGCAGAGGAAGAGAGAGAGAAGCAGACTCCCCTCTGATCAGGGAGCTCCATGCGGGGCTGGATCTCAGGACCTGAGATCATGACCTGAGCTGAAATCAAGAGTCAGACACTTAACCGACTGAGCCACCCAGTGCCCCTCCAGAGGTTATGTTTTAACCATATGACAAAATTGTGACAACTAGGTATACATGAAATTAGGTCAGCTTGATAGCTTGCTGTGCATTTGTCAAAAAATTGTATAGTTTTTTTTGGACAACTGATCTTGTTTCTGAGAGATAGAGACAATGTAAGATTCTATACATAGTGACGGTAACAACAAATTAAAGAGCAACCTTAATGAGTTTACAGTGGGATAAAGGCCATTTTTTCACCTGTTAGTCTTTTCTATATAGACATATATATTGGTCAGTTCCATCTTTGAAAATGGAAAACATCAATAAAGCAAATAGATCCATATCCTTCATACTTCATACTTCATGGATTAAGTAGGGATGAAAAGACTTTTAAGAGTATACCTTCCCCATTTCCCCCTTTTTTTTTTTTTTAAGATTTTATTTATTTATTTGCTTAAACAGAGTGTGAGCAGGAGGAGGGGCAGAGGAAGAGGGAGAGAGAGAATCTCAAGCAGACTCTGTGCAGAACATGGAACCCCACATGGGGCTCGACCCCCTGACCCTGAGATCGTGACCAGAGCCAAAATCAAGAGTCCAAGGCTTAACTGACTGAGCCACCCAGGCGCCCCTCACCATTTCCTTTTTAACTATGTAATCTATCTGTACTGAAATCTTTTTGTATTTCAAAACTCTGTGAGTAAGCAAGTGGCTTGAGAAGGAAGGATTTTTTCCCTGTGAAACATTCATATGGAGATAGAGACACCAATAACACCTAAAATATAAGATGTTGGTACAGAGAGATGCATATAAGACCCTCAGATATTCTCTACATCTTCACAGAGCTGGAAACACTGGGCTTTCCTCACTCTGTGAACGTTTCCTGGACCTTTGTCACCTATCCTTTCTTTGTTACCCAATTCTGGATTCTGGTGAGTCTTCATGTTCATTTTGTTTTGTTTGCTTTTAATGTCAATCAGGGGTTCTGATTCTGATTTTTTAAAATTCATTTACTTGTCAGAGAGAGAGAGAGAGTCAAGCAGGGTTAACAGCAGGCAGGGGGAATGGCAGGCAGAGGGAGAAGCAGGCTCCCCTCTGAGCAAGGAGCCCAACTCAGGACTCGATCCCAAGACCCCAGGATTATGACCTGAGCCAGAGGTGGACACTTAACCCAGGCATCCCTGATTCTGATTTTTTTTTTTTAAGATTTTATTTATTTATTTGACAGATAGAGATCACAAGTAGGCAGAGAGGCAGGCAGAGAGAAAGAGGAGGAGGCAGGTTCCCTGCTGAGCAGAGAGCCCGATGTGGGGCTCGATCCCAGGACACTGGGACCATGACCTCAGCCGAAGGCAGAAGCTTTAACCCACTGAGCCACCCAGGCACCCCCTGATTCTGATTTTTAATAACACTCTTATTTAATAGTTTGGTTTTATATTATTGATCATGAATTGGTCAATATAATTTGATTAACCCCATAGAGACCTTTACTCTCTGCCTGTCCATGAAAAGACTTCCTTATATGCCTGCATCATATCTCTGAGGAGCAAAGACCGAGGAGCTCCCCAAAGTATCCCTTTCTTATTTCCTTTCTCCCTGTGGCGACTCCTCTTCCACCTGGTCTTCCTCCTTTTCCCCCTTCTTTCTCCCACTCATCTCCTCCTTCACCCTACCACTTTTCTTCAAATCGCTGGGGCTACAAACTCATTAAATCTTGGGCTCTTTAAAATACATCAAAGTGAATAAATGTGTTCTAAAATTAGTTAGGATCAGTTAACAGATCAAGGCACCAAAGACAAACACAAGGAAGACAAAGTGGCAACTGAGAAAATGATGGTGTTCTGAATATTGTTCCTTCTTGTCTCTTTTCTGCATTGAGTTGTTCTCCCTGTATCTGGACCTTCACACACCCATAGCTCACTGCACTATCCTTCAAGTCTTTGTCTAAAAGTTAAAATTTCTTCAGGGACATCTTCCCTTACCTTCTAGACTTAGACTTTTATTATACTCTACAGATAGAATGTCTCAGATTTAATTAATAATCTAGACGTAGATAAAACATGAGAGTCATATGCCAACCACCCAGAAATTTTGTATAATCCTTGGGCAATTAGAAACATGTGCCAAATTCCTTCCATACAGAAGGTCACTGTGGTAGGCAGCCTGTCACGTGGCTTTCTGGAATCCCCACCTTGTGGCATTCAGCCCTTCTGGAACACACCCCACCCTCACCTTGGGTGTGGGCGGGGTATTGTGACTCACTTCTAAGGAACAGAACACAGCACCAGGGATGAGGTGTCATTTCTGAAATTAGGTTGCAAGACTTCCACCTTGCAGGCTCTCTCACGTTCTCTCTCTCCCTCTGAGCCCTCGCTTGCCTGGAGGGACGCGAACTGCCATGTTGGGAGGAGCCCTGTGGACAAGACAGCGCAGCAAGGAACTGATGTTTTTGGCCAACAGCTAACAAAGACCCCAGGCGACTCACCAGCCACGTGAGTGACCTTGAAAGATGTCCCCCCCCACCCCCCGTTCAGCCTTGAGCTGCAGCCCCTGCTGACACCTTAGTTGTAACAATGTAGAAACCTTGAGCCACAGCGCCCAGCTGTGCCAAGGCTGGATTTCTCACCACAGAACCAGTGAAAGAATATTTGTTGTTTTAACCCACTAAGTTTTGTGTTGTGGGGTAAACTGTGGTAGAGCCCTACATCATTAATACAGATTTTGGTATCTAGAAGTGGAGTGCTGTTGTGACTGGGTGATGGGATGAGGCTAAAAAGATTTTGAGGAGTGTGTCATAGAAAGTCTAAAGTTCCTTGAACACCTGGCCAATTTCATCCACATCTACAAATGACAGCTAACAAGAAAGCACTAATAGTAAGCTCTAGCAAATGTAACCAAATACATTTGATTGTGTTCTCACAAAAAAAAAATGCTCGGATCAGGGTGTCTGAAGTATCACAAAGAGGCAGGCTAGTGCATATCTGTGATTTAACAAATCGGTAGCCTTTTACATGCATAATTTCCATCTTTCTCAGACATATAATGTACACCACACACAACGGATGTATGGTGATTTGATGTGGGGCAGGATGCTCTTCTACAGCTTTTTATGAGGTTCTGAATCCGCCCATTAACTTTTTATAGATATCTGGCTTGAATCTGTGCCTATGAATAAATGATCGCACTTTTTTTTTCTCTAATAGAGGCAATGCATGACCATCCCGCTTCAAATCTTGATTCCATTTACTAAATAATTTCTATTATAAATACATTCTTAGGTTGTACGTAATTTTCTCAGGAAAATGGGATCTTTGTGCATAGGTAAAATCCCTGTGCAAAGTATTGGACTATTTAAATCTATTTAGTGTTTTTGCTTTACATGATTGGGAAAAAAAATTGTTACCTACCCTGAAGAAATTCTCACTCATGGGTAATGGAAAAAGGGATAAAAATGGTTTAAGTGCCTAAGGACATCTGAGTCGAGATAGCTAAGAGCTTAATGTTGTATTGTTTTATAGATGGCATTTCTTTGAAAGTAAACATAAATTTCTTTTTATGTATTATCAGTAATGTACATGTATGTATGATGTATATATGTATACACTATATACATATATGATAGTATATATTCACAATAATATATAATTATATACAACATATATAATAATAAAATATAATATACATTTATATATATAAGATCCCTGGGTAAAAGAAAACATAAGTCCAATCAATCTGTATTTTAAAATAATGTTTCATCTATATTTGGCTGTTTGGATAAGACATTTATTTGGTACAAATTCACCTCTTCCAAGCCACTTGAGAAAGAGGATCTTTATAAATTCCTCAATTAAGTCTCAATGGGAAAAAGAGGTAAATAGGGGAAAATGTTCCTGGTTCCCCTGGCATGTGATTATTTAACTGAATGTGAGTGACTTAGCAGTAACAGGTTCCAGCCTCTTAGAATCAATCAGTTCAGCCTCAACCACCACAAAGGACTTATATACATACATATTGTAAAAATTACCTTTATAAATGAAAATTTGTGTATGTCCAGTCTTGCACATAAGTAAGGTAGAGTGCTCTTGGGTGCTGTGCCTTGAAGAAAAGTCTCTCTGATCAGAAATATCTTCTTCCATGGCATTCTACAGAGGTCCAAATGCCAAATATTCACGTCACCTTAGAGGTCTTTCAAGAAGCTATACGTTTCAACTAGGTTTTGCTATCATTCTAGGAGTAGTTACCAGTAACTAGGTTGTTAGCAAGGATTAATTAGTCTATATGAATAATTGATGCTCATTGTTATGCAGCAGAAGGGCCTCAGGCAGTTTGACACAGATGAAATCAGGTTTGATGGCAGTGGTTAGAACCAACAAATTGTATTTAGTGTTACTGAGAGTAGTTACCTCTCTGCTCCCACTGTCTGTTGATGAGGGCTCTGGAAATCTAGGAATAGGGTAAGAAAGGAGAGCAAGGTGGTGCCAAAAAGAGGCATGGCAAGTCTTAAAGACACATTTTATTTGTATCAGTCTTGTCTAAAGCCGAAATGCGTTAACTTTTTCCTTTTTTGTTAAATATAAACAATCCATAGACAAAGCTTTAAAATATAATCTGTGTAAAGAAAGACCCTATTGTCTTAATAACCTAATTAAAATAAAGAACTCTCATGTTTTGGATTAATTCTGATAGTTTTCAAGTACATATTTTATGATTTCACTGCTAGAATCTTTTAACTTTTTAATGGATATCAGATGTATAAAATTAGATCACATAATCCTTGGTCATCATTAGTCCACAAATAGCTAAGTTCCTTCTTTCCTTCCTTTTTTCCTTCCTTCCTTCCTTCCTTTTTTCCTTCCTTCCTTCCTCCCTCCCTCCCTCCCTCCCTCTCTCCTCCCTTCTTCTCTCTTTCCCTCTCTCTCTTCCTCCCAGGCCATATTTGTTCAATGAGTCAGACAGTTAACACAAAAGTTGAGACCTTGCCAGTAACCTCTGTCTGGCTCTGTCCCTCTGTGTCACTTTACCCCATCTTTTCCTACCTGACATAACCACTGCTGTAAGTCCTGTGTTCATTGTTCCCTTGTTTTGCTTTTTATATCATTTTATCCCATTTAACTATATTTCTAAAAAGTATATGTCTATATTTTATTTTAGCCATTTTTAACCTTCAAAAACAATAATGCTTTACACAGTCACCTGGGACTTTTTTCATTTAATATAAATGAAAAAATTATTTGTATTGTTGCATTGTGAACAAGTATAGTGCGCATTCATTCATTTTGATCACCGTATAATATTTTTCAGATATTTTTATATGTGACTGAATAATTTCCCTCCTCTTTTTTCCTTGCCTCTTTTCCTTCTGTCTCCTTTTTCTTCTCTCTAGTGTCTCTCCCATTGGTTCTGCTCTCTCTCGTATCCAGAACCTTTTTTTTGTAAAGAAAATTTTATTTATTTATTTATTTATTTGAAGGTGGGGAGGAGGCAGAGGCAGAGAGAGACTCTCAAGTAGACTCCCTGCTGAATGTGGAGCCCGACATAGCTTGGTCTTGGGACCCTGAGATCATGACCTGAGCCGAAATCAAGAGTAAAATTCTTAATCTTAACCTACTGAGACCCCAGGCACCCCTCCAGGACTTTTTAATTGCATCTACCTATTACACATTTCTACCTGCAAGTACTGCAGACACCTTAAACTATATTTTCGAAACAAATTTTCTCCCCACGTTCCTTTTCTTCTCACAACTCCCCATCAGAGCCCTGGGACAAATGCCCAGCATTCCAAAGAAGAGAATTTGAAAATAACTGCATAAAGCAGTAACCAGATGCAGGCATATATTAGGACTTTCTCTATTAGTTCACTTCAGTGGTTCTCAAACTTCAGTGTGTACCAGAACCATCTGGACAGCTTGTTAAACCACAGATTGCTGGACCTCACCCCATAGTTTCTGATACATTAAGTCCAGGTGGAGACTGATGATTTGCATTTCTGAGTTCCCAGATGCTGCTGGTCTGGGACTTTGAGAACTAGTATATTTAAAAACATTTTTTTTTTTTAAGTGCTCCATGCCCAGAACCGTGTATTAGTCTCATAGTCTCATCTTTCAGGATGGGTTTGGAAGCTCACGTGCGGTGTGCCCAAGATCAGTAATCTGGCTCACAATCCAATAATCTCTCAATTATGCAGGAAACAAAACTGGTATTTCCCTTGAATTCTACATATAAATTTAATTAATACTTGCCTTTCTTAAATACTGTACAAAGATATCTCCTGAAATTTAAAAAAAATGAGCAAGTTTTAAAGTATTTTTATTTTCATACTTTTATGGAATACCTTCTGATTATACTCTTTAAATTCTTCTTACAGCTATATACCTCACTTTACCTAATAGATGTGATTTTGATAGATTGCATGTAGGTTACGGATGTAGATATAAAATAATTTTTTAAGTGCACTAAGTGAGCTACTTCTTTAAAAAACACTTATGTTTAAAAAGTCCTTCTGGATTGTGCATAATTATCCTCCAATTTATATCTTCTGTAAATTTAGGATTCTCTGTATGTCTTCTTGAACAAGAGCATGCATGCACAGGAGATATGGAACTATCTTTTAGATGCACAAGAAAGGCATGCGGTAAGAGAAATAGTGACTTCCCTTAGATACCCATGTGCAATTTTAATGACAAAAATTGTGCATTTTCATTGTATGTCATGTACAACTTCATGCCTATCTTCTTTTCCAGCTCATAAATGCTATTGATTTGCATCTTCAGGGCTGCTACAATATCTCATAAACCTCTCTTAGAAGAAACACAGCTTCCGTCAAAACAAGTCTTTAAAAATATTTACCTAGCTGTAATAAACAACACTCCTCAAATCTGCTGTACATAAAAAAAATAACCTCTTGAGGGGAAACACTAGTTTTATTTTTACTCATTAGGCTCTGAACCTTTGCCAACATTAGTAAATGATGTGGTCAGTTAGCTCATGAAAGTAAGGCTTTTTTTTTTTTTTTAATTTGAGGTGATGATCTATATTCCTTTCCCTGGTGCTTCAGATAGATAAAAATATCATCTTTTCAAAATCTGTTCCCTTGGCACTGTGAATGAGGATCTATAGTTAAGTAAACGGAAGGGTACCAGATCAAATTATATTGCCTTTAGCAAATAATAACAATGTTAGCTCCTTGGTACTGACCAGGTCGTTCAATACATTTATTAATTTGTGTTCTTTAAAGTAAGCATTCAAATAGTGGAGTAAAAATTTTGTCTGGAGTGGGGAATGGATTACTGCTCTACCAAGAGGGAGGACAGCTTGGAAGCTTGCCCAATATTGCTGTGGGCTGGAGTTGGCCATGAACTTAAATGAGTCTGCTAATAGCAACGGTGCATTGATTGTGTTTGAGAAATCCATGTGCAGATTGGTCCGCTCCATAGAAGCAAAAGAAACTGAAGCATCAGGAGTAATCTTAATAGGAATTAAGCACAAATAATAGAAATAACCACAAATGAACAATTCCTGATGCTCTACTTTACATGAGTATGTGCTAGTTTAGTTACGGATTTCTGAAAATCTCTGAAAAGCTCTTCATATTTTCTTATTTTTTCATATTGCTGGGTATTTTTGCCCTGTGTATTTTCCCTACCCGTTTCTTTTTTTTTTTTTTTTTGCCCATTTTTTCTTCTCTCTCATCCCTTTTCTTCTCTCTTTCTCTGCCACACTTTGTCTTTCCTATCTTGCCAGTCTTTTTTCCTTTCCTTTCTAGCTCCTTCTCTGTACATCCTCCTTCTTGTTCTTTCTCCCTTTATGCCTGGCATTGTGTAAGTACTGAACAGAGAAAATAAATGATGTGCAGATAAGCTGACATAACCTCCTAGCTGGACTCTTTCACAAAGCAGGCTTCTCTATTTAGTACCTGCAAAATAGTCTCTTAATGGTCTCTTCGTTTGCCCTTCTAATGCATGCTTCCCACAGCTAATCTGTATTCTTATCCTATTTCTCACCAGCTTAAAATCCTTACTTTCAGTCAAATCACTCATCCATCCAACCAACTATCCATTCATCTAACCATCTATCCATCCATCCATCCATCCATCCATCCATCCATCCATGTACCCAGTGATGAATATATTGCTTCTTTCTGCCTGTAGAGGGAAGTAAAATCCCCTTAATGTAGCAAATGTATCTATCCCCCTCTGGTCCATCTTTTATCTTTACCCTTCCCTGAGGTATGGTGGCTCGCCTCCTTCTATCTGTCCATTTCTTGTTCATTCTTTGAATTAGCTTAGATATACTTTCTCCTGTGAAGGCTTTTCAGACTCTTTGCTCACCTTGAAGAATTTGGTGCTTCTTTGCTCTTGAAGCCTTAAAAAAAATGTGTCTTGTGACACCCACTCTTGGCGTCAGTGTAATGCAGTTATTTTATTTACATTTTTTTGAAAAATATTTTTATCTTAAAGTTAATATATGCTTCTTTATTGCCTTTGGAAGATAAAGAAAAGGTGAATAAAGGAAAAGACTGTTCATAGTTCCACCACCCAAAGACAAATGCTGTTAATAATGGGATACGTTTTCTTCCCAATATTAAGTTAAATTTTATAATTTGTTCTATCTTTCCAAAGGTAAAAAGTTTCTACCCTGAAGATTTGATAAATTTCAGTTTATATTTCCTTTTTTATGGCTTGCTTCTCTTTTCTTATTTTTTAATTTTTAAGTTTTGCAATATATATATGTTTTTAAAAGTCCAATAATAGCCAAGCTTTATATAGAACTGAAATTTATTTTGGATCCAAGTTAATTACAAATTACAAACTCAAAAGAGCTAAAAAAAATACCTCCAGTACATATATTGACTTTTTCGTCATTGCCTGGACATTGTACTGCATTCTTCAAGTGGGCTACTTGGAATCCTTACATAACCCTGCATGACAGATGTTTTAGTGTCTGTTTTATAGATGAGGTACTCAGAACTCTAAGAAGCTAATCACTTCTCTAAGGTCAAGCAAGTTGTGGTGATAAAATGGGGCTCAAATTTTGTTTTAATGCCAGTAGTTACAGTCTCTGGTTCACTAGGAAGCCTAAATATAAGGTTAGTCTTCTTTCCTGATTTCTTTTCAAAACTCTATTTTTGATTCTTGCCTGATGTATTTTTTTTTTTTATCAACTTTAGGAATATTTTGTTAAGGTTTAAAAAATATCACAATATAATTCTGATTGGATTTGTGTAATATGTACATATGAATTAATTTGAGAAAAATGAGAATTTTATTATATGTTGTCTTCTATCCAGAAATAGTTTGTCTTTTATGTAGCTCAACAAATGTTGAAAATTATTTTTCTCATTTGGATGTTTGGATCCAGCATATTTCTCAATAAGGCCATTCATTTTTTGTTGTTAGTGCAAATGATATCTATTTCATTATATTCTCTAACTAGTTATTGATTATATATGAGAAGATATTGACTTTTAAAAATACTTTTGTGTACATGCTTAAGTTTTAGGAATCAAGTATTGTAATGTTTGTAGTTTTCTCTTAAATGCTTTAGCAAAAATAAAAAGAGAAAATATACAAACACTCAGATATATGGATAAAATGAGAGAAAAAGCAAATCTGGCAAAAATTTTAACACTTGATGAATCTTGGTTTAAAAAATACAGATTGTCATTATATTATTCTTCTGACTTTTTTGTAGGTATAAATGTCCAAAATAAACAGCAGAGAAAATAATCCTACATTTGATCATTTGATTTATTTTACTAATTCTAACAGTTTTGTGCTGATTCTCTTATGTGGTGATATCCTATCCATTGTAAATTATCATAATTTTGTCTTGTATTTTTTAATAGTAACATCTTATTTCTGCTTTATATCTTCTTGAAATTAGCCAAAATTTCAAGAATGATGCTGAATGAAAATAGCAGATATCATTTTGATGCTGTTCTTCCTATATTTGACAAGACCTAAATTTAACTTCCCTTTTTGGTATAATATCAATATCTATGTATCTGCTTATCATTATTATTTTTGAACTTTGTTCAGGAACTTTTTTTTTAAAGATTTTATTTATTTATTTGACAGAGAGAGATCACAAGTAAGCAGAGAGGCAGGCACAGAGAGAGGGGAGGAAGCAGGCTCCCCACTGAGCAGAGAACCCGATGTGGGGCTTGATCCCAGGACCCTGAGATCATGACCTGAGCCGAAGGCAGAGGCTTTAACCCACTGAGCCACCCAGGCGCCCCAGGAACTTATTTTTCTATTTTTTATTCCCAGCGAGGTTTTTTCCAGCATGACTGTGGAATTTTATCAGTGTATTAAATAATACATTCTTTTCTAATATTGCTAATATTTAATTTTCAATAGTTTCTTTTACCAGAAATTAGCAAATGGTCCGAGCAAAATGCCAGGGGCTTAATAAATGCACAATAAATATTTGTTAAGTAAACAAGAAAAGGCAAAACAATGCAAGGAGAAAGATTACAATGAAGAGGAGTGTCAAAAATAATCTGCATATTTTACCCTTGATGCTGTCTTTGTTCTGATTTAAGAGGGATTGGTTTGATTAGAATTCTTGATATTGCTATGATTCAATTACATTGACATTTGGAGCTGATATTTTCCTCCTAATCCTGTGCAATGAAAATAAAGATCTAGAGTTTCTCAGACCAGAGGGAAGGGCTGCAGAGAAACCCTGATACTCCTATGATCACTCCTGTGATCCTATATTAATATATAGAGTATTATGACCCTGAAAGGAAGCTGTTAAGCTAGGTAAAGAAACTCAATGTCATGTACTCTATATACTATCAGGAGTTCCAAGAGAGGCAACTTCAAACTTGAAAGCATCAACACCATGGAGATTAATATTGTTTACTTTAACCACAGTGATATGGGAATAATTATGCCCTCTATAAAAATATTTTTAAATGTCTTAAGATGTTTCATAATATCTCCTCAACAGTATTTTGTTTTCTTCATGAAAGACCATCTGGTAGCTGAGAGGCAGTATGGTTAATGAGAGAGCTTGAGATCTGAAGTTGGAGATGGCCCATGCCACTTACTACCTATGAGGCCTTGGGAAAATGGCTCCACTCCTCTGAGCTTCTAATTCTATTAGCTTGTAATTTTTGTGAGAGTTAAAAGCAATGTCAACTTCGTAAATGCTGGCACATAGGAGTGCAATGAGTGTTGGTGTCTTATCTTCACTTTTCTTCTTTTCTTCAGATACAGTTTCTTTACCAGCTATAAATGCTCATTTACTCTGTTGTGGACAGCAAGGACATCATCACAGTGGAAGAAAATGACAGCCAAAGATTCTACTTAACATTACAATCTCCAAGTCATACAAACAGAGCCTGTAAATATGTTTCAATGGTTGTCCAATGGTTTTCTTTTCTTTTTTTTTTTTAAATATTTTTATTTATTCATTTGAGAGAGATAGAGAGAGCACAAGCAGCGGGGAGCAGCAGAGGGAGATGCAGATTCTGCATTTGTCTCCCTCTCTGATTTCATCCTGTTTTATTTTTCCCTCCCTTCTCCTATAATCCTCTGTTTTGTTTCTTTAATTCTACATATGAATGAAATCATATAATTGCCTTTCTTTGATTGACTTATTTCACTTAGCATAATACCCTCCAGTTCCATCCAAGTCATTAAAAATGGCAAGATTTCACCTTTTTGATGGCTGAGTAATATTCCTTTGTATTTATAACCACATCTTCTAACACGACCTGAGCTGAAAACAGGTGCTTAACTGACAGAGTCACCCAGCTACCCCTGTCCATTGGTTTTCAATGACTTTTTCATTTCAATATGCTTAAAAAAAATTAAGGTAATACCTTTAACAGTGATTATCTAAGCCAAATTACTTCTCTCCCCTTTAATATACTTTTCACAGAATACCATGTTGGAGACAAATTATAAGAAACTTAAACTTTGAGATTTAAAAAAATAAAAGAAAAATTAAAATGAAGACAAATTAGAAATAGAGATCAGAAAAATTGCAGAGCTGCTATAACATGCTGGATAAGGAGGCCATGTTTTCAAATGTTGCAAAGGTAAGGAAGATCTCCTTTAATTATTTTTTTGCAAACTGTTTAATTTTTGTCAACCTTATTTCCATTTTCTAAGAGTCTGTGGAAAAACAGCTTAAGACCACTCAGTGGCTGGGTGTTCCTACCCTTTCAGTGACCTGAAGAGTGGGAGCTGTAGAGCAGACCTCGGTGATCAAGCTAAGTGCTCCAGTCCTCTGCAGGGAAGTGCTGACTAGGGACAGAGGACACCTGCCCATCTCCAGACCCAGATGTGACCTCAGGTTGAGTATTAGTGAGCTTAGGAGCTGGAGCTGTCCATCCACCTTGAAATTCCTCCTTGTCATGGTCTTTTCAGCAGCCATCTGCTCTTCCTTTCCAATCTCTTGGAAGCAGGAACTCTATGGAAGGAGAGATGAGGCATGACCTTCAGCTGGATTTCATAGGATGGAGCCACGCATGCCCAAAACTTCCCCAGTCCCGCATCCACCACCTCAGACCAGCTGAGTGTGCTTCCTTGTTAGGGCATGGGCTGGCAATGCCCACATAACACAGAGGAGAGTCTGTGTTACCTGGGGCAATGGTAGGCAGGTTAACAGAAGGCTGGTGTCAGCCCTGGGATCAGTAACCACCAGAAGACACAACTCCAGGATGGGTGCCCAGATCTAGTTCTTGAAGCTTCTGGAAGCTGAGCACTGGCAGGAGGAGTGGCTCTGATAGCAGCAGCAAACATTTAAGAGCTCCCTGGCCAGTATTCTTGGAGGATATGATACTGACATTATTGTGGCAACAATGGCACAAGTTGCCAGCAGGAGCATCGCCTAGGTCTCTTGAGATTGATAAGGTAATGCCATGACTTTTCCTTTTGTAGATGACTGTTCCACTTGGAAATCAAGCTTGGTGCCACCTATGTGGTTTTCGGCAGCAAGGAACCTGGGAATATCTTTCTTCATTATTTGTAGGACATCATGGTCTCTAGTTATTATACAAGTTTCCCTTTAAGTTATGATAGAAACCCAGAACGACGTTGTATGGACTCTTCTGGGTGCTGTAGAAAAGCTCCTTTAATTTTGTCAGGCTTTTTTTTAATCCGTCATAAGAAAAAATGAGTAATTCTTTTAAAACTCATTTTTAAAGCAGTGTTTTAAAAGGGAATAAATGATATTTTAGTGGTAAACTAATATCTAAAATCTAATTTCACTTGAAATTATTTTTATTATGTGAAAAATTACACTTGCAGAATACAATCTATCCATTGAAACATTTCAGTTATTAAAGCAGTAGAACTAACAGATGAGAGCTATTCTTTTAGCAAACATGTGCTTTCATAAGACTTGCCTGTCAACCCACAGCTAAAGCTCAATGGATGTAGGACAATGTACTATTGACCATAAAAGATTTAACATGTTGTAAATATTTTTTAATAAAGATTTACTTATTTACTTTAGAGAGACAGAAAGAGTGCACATGCAAACAGGGGGGAGGAGCACAGAAAGGGAGACAAACAGACTCCCCACTGAGTAGGCAGCCTGGGTGCAGGGTTCCATTCTAGAACCCTGAGATTGTGACCTGAGCTGAAACCAGGAGTTGGATGCTTAACTGACTGACCCACCCAGGTGCCCCAAGGGCAGAGAATGTTGTTTCCTTTTTTAAAAAATTTAAATTCAATTAATTAACATATAGTTAACATATAGTGTATTATTAGTTTCAGAGGTAGAGTTCAGTGATTCATCAGCTATATAACATCCAGTGCTCATTACATCATGGGCTCTGATGATGTCCATCATCTAGTTATCCCATCCCCCAACCCCCTCCCTACAGCAACCTTCAGTTTGTTTCCTATGATTCAAAGTCTCTTATGGTTTGTCTCCCTCTCTGATTTCATCCTGTTTTATTTTTCCCTCCCTTCTCCTATAATCCTCTGTTTTGTTTCTTTAATTCTACATATGAATGAAATCATATAATTGCCTTTCTTTGATTGACTTATTTCACTTAGCATAATATCCTCCAGTTCCATCCAATTTATTAAAAATGGCAAGATTTCACCTTTTTGATGGCTGAGTAATATTCCTTTGTATTTATAACCACATCTTCTTTATACATTCATCTGTTAATGGACATCTGGGCTCTTTCCATAGTTTGGCTATTGTGGGCATTGCTGCTATGAACATTGGGATTTTTGGATCATTACATTTGTATCATTGGGGTATATACCTAATAGTGCAATTGTTGGGTTGTAGGGTAGCTCTATTTTCAACTTTTTGAGGAACCTCTATACTGCTTTCTAGAGTGCATGCACCAGCTTGCATTCCCACCAACAATGTAGGAGGGTTCCCCTTTCTCCACATCCTCACCATCATCTGTCATTTCCTGATTTGTTAATTTTAACCATTCTGACCTGTGTGAGGTGGTATCCCCTTGTGGTTTTGATTTGTCTTTCCCTGATGGCAAGTGATGGTGAGCAATTTTTATGTGTTTGTTGGCCATTTTTATGTCTTCTTTGGAGAAATGTTTGTTCATGTCTTCTACCCATTTCTCGATTGGATTATGTGTTCTTTAGGTATTGAATTTGATAGTTTTTTTATAGATTTTGGATACTAGTCCTTTATCTGGTAAGACATTTCCACATATCTTCTCTCATTCTGTTGGTTGTCTTTTGGTCTTGTCAACTGTTTCTTTTACTGTCCAAAAGATTTTATCTTGATGAAGTCCCAATAGTTCATTTTTGCCTTTGTTTCCCGTGCCTTTGGAGACAGGTCTAGCATGAAGGTGCTGTGGCCGAGGTAACAGAGGTTGCCACCTGTTTTCCTCCAAGATTTTGATGGATTCCTGTCTCACATTTAGGTCTTTCATCCATTTTGTGTATGGTGTAAGAAAATGGTCCAGTTTCATTCTTCTGTATGTGGCTGTCCAGTTTTCCCAACATCATTTGTTGAAGAGACTGTCTTTTTTCCATTGGATATTCTTTCCTGCTTTAGTTGACCATAGAGTTGATGGTCCATTTCTGGGCTCTCTATTTTGTTCCATTGATCTATGTGTCTGTTTTTGTGCCAGTATCATACTATCTTCATGATTACAGCTTTGCAATAGAGCTTGAAGTCCAGAACTGTGATGCCACCAGCTTTGGCTTTCTTTTTCAACATTCCTTTGGCTATTCAGGGTCTTTTGTGGTTCCATACAAATTTTAAGATTATTTGTTCTAGCTCTGTAGAAAGAGTTGGTGGCATTTTGACAGGGTTTGCATTAAATGTATAGATTGCTCTAGGTAGCATAGACACTTTAACAATATTTGTTCTCCCAATCCATGAGCGTGGAATGTTTTTCCATTTCTTTGTGTTGTCCCCAATTTCTTTCATTGGTGTTCTATAGTTCTCTGAGTACAGATCCTTTGCCTCTTTGGTTAGGTTTATTCCTCGTTATCTTACGGTTTTTGTTGCAATTGTAAATGGAATTGACTCCTTAATTTCTCTTTCTTTTGTCTCATTATTAGTGTATAGAAATGCAACTGATTTCTGTGCATTGATTTTATATCCTGATGCTTTGCTGAATTTCTGTGTGAGTTCTAGCAATTTTGGGGTGGTCTTTGGGTTTTCCACATAGAGTATTATGTCATCTGTGAAGAGTGAGAGTTTGGCTTCTTTGTTGATCAGGATGCCTTTTATTTCTTTTTGTTGTCTGATTACTGAGGCTAGGACTTCTAGTACTATGTTGAACAACAGTGGTGATAGTAGACATCCCTGTCGTGTTCCTGGCCTTAAGGGAAAATCTCTCAGTTTTTCCCTACTGAGAATGATATTCACTGTGGGCTTTTTGTATATGGCTTTTATGATATTGAAGTAGGTTGCCTCTATCTCTACACCGTGAAGAGTTTTAATTGAGAAAGGATGCTATACTTTGTCAAATGCTTTTTCTGTATCTATTGAGAAGGTCATATGGTTCTTGTCCTTTCTTTTATTAATGTAGTATATCACATTGATCGATTTGTGGATGCTGAACCATCTTGCAACCCGGGAATAGATCCCACTTGGTCTTGGTGAATAATCCTTTTAATGTACTGTTGGATCCTGTTGGCTAGTATTTGGTGAGAAATTTTTGCATCCATGTTCATCAGGGATATTGGTCTATAATTCTCCTTTTAGGTGGGGTCTTTGTCTGATTTTTGGGATCAAGGCAATGCTGGTCTCATAGAAAGAGCTTGAGAGCTTTCCTTCTATTTCTATTTTTTGAAACAGTTTCAGGAAAATAGGTATTAATTCTTCTTTAATGTTTAGTAGAATTCCCCTGGGAACCTTCTGGCCCTGGGCTCTTGTTTATTGGGAGATTTTTTATTATTGCTTCAATTTCCTTGCTGGTTATGGGTCTGTTCAGGCTTTCTGTTTCTTCCTGGTTCAGTTTTAGTAGTTTATATGTCTCTAGGAATGCATCCATTTCTCCCAGATTACCTAATTTGTTGCCATATAGTTGTTCATAATATGTTCTTATAATTGTGTGTATTTCTTCAGTATTGGCTGTGTTCTCTCTCCTTTAATTCATGATTTTACTGGTTTGGGTCCTTTTTCTTTTCTTTTTGATAAGTCTGGCCAGGAGTTTATTGATCTTATTAATTCTTTCAAAGAACCAGCTCCTAATTTTATTGATCTGTTCTCCTTTTCTTTTGGTTTTTATTTCATTGATTTCTGCTCTAATCTTTATTAATTCTCTTCTCCTGCTGGGTTTGGGCTATATTTGCCATTCTTTCTCCAGCACCTTTAGGTGTAAGGTTAGCTCATGTATTTGAGACCTTTCTTGTTTCTTGAGAAAGGCTTGTATTGCTTCCCAGTTAGGACTGCCTTTGCTGTATCCCAAAGGTTTTGAACAGTTATGTTTTCATTTTCATTTGATTCTGTGAATTTTTAAAATTCTTTCTTAATTTCCTCATTGACCCATTCATTCTTTAGTAGGATGCTCTTTAACCTTCATGTATTTGAGTTCTTTTCAAATTTCCTCTTGTGTTTGAATTCCAGTTTCAAAGCAGTGT